TTTCTTTTCGAAAGGCAAGGGTAACATTGTCCAAACTAATTTCTTCATTGTGGCTTTCTTCTTCAAATATTCAAAACTAAAAGTAATATGAAAATAAAAGCTTGGAATCTATGCCTTTTGCCTTGTAATAAATCATCCATACATGAGTAGCAGCAGCCTAAGTGGGATCTGTGCTTTTTGCCTCCAAGAAAAGCTTGGAAATTTATTATCTTTATTTCCTGTACCCATTTTCCCTTCTTCTCCTAGATTTGAACAAAGAGGTGGAGTCACCGCCACCACCCTTCAAGCCTACCACCATGGATCTTGAAGATTGCCTTCTATTTTCGAAAGAAGCAAATATACTACCAGTAATACAAGAGGGGTATGCATTTCTTGAATGATTTAGAAGATTATAATCCAAATAAAAGAGGGTTTTAATAATTTTTTTACTTAAGAAAGCCTAAGAAAACTGTAAAGATTCAAACTTTATATCAGGTGACAAGAAGAAAAAAGATCAATTTGTGGCTATTAATGAGAATGATCAAATCTGTAAATGGACGAGAAGAAAGAAGATCAATTTGGCTCAAAATACGTAGGGACGGTTTGCGCAATTTTTAACAAAGGTAGGGATGTTTTAAACAACTCCAATTTAAAGGTAGGGATGTTTTGCACAAAGATAATGTAAAGGTAAGGATGTTTTACACAAATACAATTTAAAGGTATGGATTATTACTACAAGTTCAATTTCGTGCTAAAATGGAAAGAAGACCAGTTCATCTTTATCATCTTCTTCATTTATATTCATTGTCCTTTCACTAAATCACATTTTTTTAATTGGTTTTCTCACTTTATCCCCTATTTACACTTTTCGTAAGCACAAAATGGGAATGAACATCTCAAATTTATCAACCACATATTCAGTCTCTTCATATACCATTCAAAAATTTTATGAGCAATCAAACATTACAACCCCTTATTGAATGAAATAATTTTTTACAAATAATTTTATTTTCATATTACTTTTAGTTTTGAACATTTGAAAAAAGAAGGCCACAAATGAAGATATTAGTTTAGACAATGTTACCATTACCTTTTGGAAAAAAAATTCCATTTTATTTGTTTTAATGAAGCATTTTAACAGTGAGTGAATGGAATGACGTTTTTCCACAACAAAATGTAAAGGTGATGGTGAAAATTGCCAAAAAACGAAAGATATGGACATTTTTTTACAAAAATCTTAAAAGATATGAGTGTTTTGTGCTAATTATCCTTTCCTTGGGGCGGACTAGGTTTCTGTTTTCCTCGAAACAAGAAAAATATTTTCTTTTCTAGTTCATATTTTCCATATCAATCAAACACTCTTAAAGAAAATATCATGTTTAAGTACTTATAAATAATTTCTACCTATTAACATAAAATTGCTTTTTTATAGTAAATGAGTGATATTATAATTATATTACCTTTTTCTTTCATCGCATATTCGCACCTTATCAATTTAACGAAGTGAAAGTTATCAAAATGAGAAAGTGTAAAATTGAATAAAATATTAAATATCAAATAATTTATGTTCTAACTGGCTAAAATACATGAAATGTTTAATAATGTATTGCTAAAAATTTATTATCAGGCCATCTCCAATGTGTGCACAAAAACATCTTTTGCACCAAATTTTGATGCAAAGTCACTCCAATATGCACCAAACTTTGCACCAAAATGATTAAGTACAATTTTGCCCTTCACTTTCATTTTTGTAAAAAAATTGGTTAAGGGTATTTGTGTCCATTTTTGTTATACATTTTTAATATAATAAATTATTATTATGATGATCATCATCATCATTTGTAATAAAATTTAGTAATGTAATCAATAACATTAATTAATTAAAATAAGAATACTCAAAAAATTTAGGATAGTAACAAACATGATTATTTAAAGTTAACACAAAATTAAGGATAAATAGGTCTCTCTCTCTCTCTCTCTCTCTCTCTCTCCTCTCTCTCTCTCTCT